ATTGCAAAGCCTATATTTGTAATAAAAACAGTGTAAAGCCCTGTATGTGTGAATACCTATTTTTAAGTAGGGACTTCTTAGTAGGTAGGTCTCAAGTTATCTTTTTTTTTATTATTGTCTACTTACACATTTACGTGTTGGCTACCATTTAAAAGCAATCACTGCATCAAATCACTTTGTTAGAACAAACCCCAAAAGGCAAAACCAGGAGTTTGCAGTTAGTCTCAGTCTCACATATTTTTTCAAATATCTGAATACCAATGAGATACCCAACAGAACTGAAGTGCTATTTGAAAGGTTAGTGCAACAGTTGCAAAATAAGCTTCTTGCATCATAGTATTTTCTGTAGCAGCAACAAATACCAGCCTAATTTCCAAAATATTTGCTAGATCTCAGTGAAGTTTTGGGTGAAAACCTTCAAATGAATTGTAACATGTACGGGTGTTACAGCACTTTATGTGTATTATATACTCTCTTGCAAGGCAATCTGGAAATCCAGAGAAGTTTCACAAAACACACATATAATACAGACACATATAATAAGAAAACATTGCTAAGAAATTATCGTTTCCTCTGCTGTAACTCATTTTTTCCATGCATTGCATGCATCACACACAAGATCAGGTACATCTTACACAAACAAGCTTGAAGTATTTTTCTTGGTAGCACCTCCAGATTTCTTGCATTCAACTACAGGGAATGGAGATCCACATTGCCATTATCAGCTCAAAGAACCAGTCATTGCAGTGGAAATAAATGTCTCTTTTTAAAGTATGTGTCAGTGTGCCTGTCACAAACTGGAGTGAGAAGAAAAACTTTACCAGCATGGTAGGAATGAGAAATGTCAGCCTCCTCGCAGGACTGTAAGATTGATCTTTCAAATAGAGCATCTCGCCTAGCAGGTAGGAACAGTGCACAGCACCGGGCAAATGTATGTGGATGGTTCCATTTCAGTAATCTTACTTCGGATAGCAAAATCTCCTGAAAACAGGAGGATTTTCAAGAAGCTTCTAACAATTCCCAGAAAAGATTCGGAGGTTGGTCAGAAATGTCAGGAAACAAGGCACATTATCCACTAAACCAGGTTTCTTCAGCTAGAACAACAGGTGCTCTGTTTTGAGTATCTCCAGCTTGCTCACCTTGCTCTCTATGTTGCTTTGGCGGATAACGCTCAGTTTGAGGAAGATGTAAAAGATGGGACATCCCAGCCTTCCTTTAGAGAGCTCACTGCGGTACAGACAGGGGAGTCTCCTCTTTGGAAAGAGTCAAGTAAGAGAAGACCAAGCATGACATTACCAAAGGATGCTGAAGTTCCCAGCTCAGCTAAGGAGAGGGCTGATGCCTTAAACCAATGAGCAAAAAAAGTGGTGGATAGGCAGGCATCCATGGCCAATTATGAAGGTAGCAAGGCTCTTGTCTGGTTTTAGACCATGTTCAGCTACTTACACTCAGAACCTTTTCCAACCGTACAGGACTTCTTGAAACAGCAAGGAGCAATTCCTCTTCAAAGCACTTCCCTGGCAAGCTGCCAGACCTCAACATGGTAGCACAAGTCTAGACACAAGAAAAAACTTAAGCTCTGATCTAAAGACAGACAAGGGATGTATTTATTCTCGAGCCCAGCTGGTTGCAGCTCCTGGCATGCAACAAGTCTGCCTTGGCCAACGGCCAGCTACATGGACGAGTGCATCCTGCTTTTGACTAGCTCTGACAGTAACTAGGGGGCTTGGTGGAACTGGTGGCAAAGCACATAAAGGCATCCAGCAATACCTCTGGATCCCATGCTTTATCGCAGAGACTTGACATTAACCTTGGATTCTACAGATTTATACCCATGGTATTCCCTAATCCTGGCGATAACCCACTTGCAGTTCTTTTTAAATTTTCTGTTTGGGAAAGCTAAGAGATGATGGCCGATTCCTAGGTCAGTGTGTTCAAGTTTCACTGTGCTTTTCCAGTAGGACTCTTATAGCTTCTTTATGTAAAGTTCAATTATGATTGTTGATCACATCTCCACAGCATAGAGTTGTCATCACACATGATGTTCAGCGAGATGATGCCTATTTTGAGGCTCTTTACATTCCACCCCCTGGCTTAGATCATTTTCATGCAAAATGGTCAATATAAGCACTACTGAATATTCCTTATTCATCTACCACACAGAGAATGACTAAGCTCAATTGCTTTGGCCACCAAAGTAAGTGCTTCACAGTACTAAAGTGAGAGATCATGGTGGCTCTTCTCTAGCCTTTTCTTTTTTCTTCTTGCCTGGAGAAGAGAAGGCTGAGAGGGGATCTAATCAGTGTCTATAAGTATCTCGAGGGAGGCAGTGAGGAGGATGGTGCTGGCCTCTTTTTACTGGTGGCCACAGACATAACTAGAGGAAACGGCCAGAAACTGAAGCATCAAAAGTTCCACATGAATTAAGGAAAAATTTCTTAACAGTGAGGGTGCCAGAGCCCTGGAACAGGCTGCCCAGAGAGGTTGTGGAGTCTCCTTCTCTGGAGATCTTCCAAACCCGCTTGGACGCAGTCCTGTGCCACGTGCTCTAGGTGACCCTGTGTGTGCAGGGGGTTGGACTAGATGACCTCTAGAGGTCCCTTCCAACCTTAAGCATTCTGTGATTCTATGAAATGAGAGAGAACAGCAAATTTGATATCTGCCAGGGATGGGATTTTACCCAGATATAAAAAGTATCTTCAGTGCCTATCAATTAATTGCTAAAGGCCATCTCATTAAGGGCTGAGATTAACCACATCCACCATTTTTATTTATTTATTTATTTCGGCAGGGTTAAGGAAACAGAGAAATCAAAAAATCATTAATGAGCAAACAGAAACTTATTTGAAAAGCAAACATTAAGAAATAAGATGCTAGAGAGAAGCTACGTTTAGCCTCACTGCTATGACAGTAAAAGGATCCCTGTTGACTTGTCTTTTTTTCCCCCACATAGGAACATAATGAGACCTGAGGAGCACGTGGCTCTAGGAGAGTCATCTACGCTTACGAGAGAGAACAAATGAAGTCATTGATAATATCTGCAAAACTGTAATAGCTCTTGGAGTAAGTCTGAATCTCTACACTAATCATAAGCATTTGGGCAGATGTATACAGGTATAAATGTATGTTACGAAAAATACATTTTTCTATCACTTGATGAATACCAATTAGTTTGTGACATATCTTTGATATCTGCTAGAACTCAAGTGAGAAGTTACTGTGTGTGTTATTGCTTGATATAAGTTGCATCTCCCTAGGGATAAGGGTGCTAAGCTTTCTTCGAACCATTTATTCTTGGCACCAAAACTGAGCAATTACGGCTGTGTCTCACACTTGGTCTTTTAAGGATGTGGCACATTTATTGTTTACAAGAGGAAAAACACTCCTGTAGCGATGTTTTGAAATCACTAGGTTCAGGCAAAAACCAAGTGCTGGCTATGGATGAGATCCTTCCTTGGATGCAGAAACAAGGCTGCACACCGCTCCCACCTCCACCGTATACAAGCACAAAAGCCCCAGGGAGAAAAGTTCACTTTTCCTGTTCTTCCTGACCACAGGAGAGAGGCATTATGGAAATTACAATCAAAAGCCAAAAAATATGTTTACAAACATCTTCCTTCTATACTAACAACTACTGGCTATAGATCTAGAAACAATTATATAATTTAAATGGAAGATGTATGATGCATTGGCATGTTGTGGTATTCAGAGCTACAAGGGTGGTTAATAGGAGTTTGTGTCAGACTTGCAATGTATAGAATCATAAGCTTAGAAGTGCATCGTGCACGTCTACAACATAAACACAAATATTAGAGTAGCTTGAAAAAAGTCCCACAAAACCTCAAGAACAAACCTCAAACTTGAATAATCAATTACATGCATTAATGCAGAAGTGAAATTGGTCTTCAGCTGCGAAAGTAAAATGTGAGGCAATGCATAAGGCTGTCCAGCAACGTATATTCACTGCATCAAATGAAGTACGCAATTATTACGAGTACCTTCCATAAATCTGGAAAGCGATGTAAGAGAAAATAAACAGCCAAGTAAAATATGAATAATTTTGAAGAAAATAATTCAAGCCATTACTTCTGAAATAAAAATTATATTGGTCTCATTAATCGGCTCAGAGTGTCGTATAAATAAATGGAAATTACTTCCTTGGAGGGTGTTTCTTTTACAAGGTAGTTTCTTCTACAGAGTCAGTGTGTTTCCTTTGCAGACACTCAGTACAATAACAACAAAAGAAGTAATTTGTAATTAAAGTTTACAGGTGAATAGAGATTTAAAGGATTATAATCCTAGATGTGAAGCCTACACATTTTTTTTCACCTTTCTTTGTGTGCTTGATTCTAAATCTTAATATAGCCTGGGCAATTCATATTGTTCTGTTACACAGTGCATTTTTGCAGCATAAGTCTAATAATGACATACTGAACATATGGTTGAGAAATACAGTTATGAAATTCCCAGACTGATAAACCAATAATATAATTAGAATCAACATGCTCACTTTTTTCTAAAATATGAGATGACAATAAAATATAAATTTTTATTAGCTGGTAAGTTATATTCCTTGTCCTTTTAGAAAAAATACTTTTTTTTTTTAAGGAAAAAAGGAAATACTAGCCTTGAGGCAATGAAATCCCTTAAAACTGCAAACAACGGGGAGAGGAAAAAAAAAAAACAAACAAGTACAGTGGCAAATGTGTAGAGACAACCACTAACACATGTCAAAAATGTTTCCCACTAGCATACAAGAGCATTAAAAAACACTGAAGAAAGAGTGGTGAAGGATGAGAAAAAAAATGGAGGAAAGGACTTTTGACAAGGGAAGGAGAAAAGCATCCAAGACCAACTGCTGCTCTAGGATATAACAGCAGCAACTATCCTAGCGTTGTGATTTTTCTCTGCTTTGAAGTGCCTGGTCCCAACATGCTCCTAGGGCACGCGGAAGAAACCCTTGGATCTGCAGCTCCCCAGAGACGTGCCCAGCACCTCACCCTGCTCCAGGTTATTCCTTACTCCTTCCGGGTCCCGCCAGCTGACTGCTTGCAGGAGACCCACCTGAGGCTCTCGCAAAGCAGCCCGGCACAACAGGAGGGCTGTCTGAGGGTCCAGCCCAGGCTGTGGCGTCTCCCAGAGCAGGCAGGAGGGCTCGAGGCCACCCCAGATTCTGCCGACGAGCAGGCTGGCGTGCAGAGCATGGCTACGGACCTGCATGCTGGGCAAAACGAACCATGGAGACCTCTCCAAGGAAAAGCATATCTGTTTCCCTCCCAAAAGGATTGACCCCACTTGCATGAGCTATAGGGCATCCCCAAACCAGCAGCGATTCGACTGAAAGCTTCAAAGCACCGGCTAAAATGCCATTTTTTCCCCAGCACATCTCAATTCTGTTTATCCACCGTCCATCAGTTAATCACTCATCTCACACATAGACACAGATGTGTTGCCACTTGCAATCATATCCTGATGCCACCCTAATATTGTGATCCTTCCACTTATGCAAAAAGCAATCAATCTTTTTTACATACAGTCATGCTGCTCGAGTCCTACTCGCTGACTGCCTGTCACCTCTGGAGCAAAAATACTTTATCTAATAGGACTACTTGAGCATGAAACACTACCAAGAACACAGTTCCTCAAACTGTTTTCAATAATTCTTTATACCATTAATCACTTTTGCGAAACCTGCAATTCCAAACTTGAATTTTGTCTGGTAAAAATTTGACTTTTAAAATATCATCTAATAATGTCAACAAAATTCTAGAGGAGGGGAAGAAAGATCCTTATTTATAAAACACACTAATTTCCGTCACAATCATCAGAAGAGCTTCAGCTGCTAAAACCTAGCCATGTGCACAAGGCTGTGCACTGCAAGCAGCAGTACAACACTGTATAAGGTGGGAACAGAAGACTGGACGAGACAGAGACGATGAATAGAAAATGGATGCGGAAAAACAACAAAGATGTTAATTTCTGCACAGCGAGTGTCAAGCAACCACTTGATGTCAAACCCACACATGAAAGACTGGTGTTTCAGGTTAAGTGCATCTCACTGAGGAGACAGAGATCAGCTGCTCTGTAGAGCTAAACCAGTCACACTTGGGGAAATTAGCGCTGTTACCTGTACCAACTTCGCCTTCGTTTCAGCTTTTAATCCTCTTAAAAGCACGATGGGGCATCCAGGACAATCTCAGTTCCCAAGGGCAGCACCCAAAAGGTTTGGGCTATTCTGCACTGAGGAAACCACCTGAGACGGCCGCTCTCCTGCATCGCTCTCCACCGCCCCCTCGCCACAACCGCCAATTCCCCCGGTGACCACCACAGCCATCAGGAGAAAAGTCTGCCCTTCTTTTTTGATCAATTTTCATCTCTTCTAACAGCTTTCCTGCCCCAGGAGTATAAGTGGGATCAGAAGAGGGCAGGATGTTAGCTTCCATCCCTGATTATAAAAGAACTAGACTTCTCATAAGTATTTTGTTTGTGTTTTGCTGACTCTTCCACAGATGGCTGGAACGCATTCACAAAAGAAAAGAAGGGTTAAAGAAATTCTTGATAGCAAAGACTAATATGGATTAGAAGGAAAGCATTGTCTTTATTTTGTGTTTCAAAAAAATGCAAACATACACACGGCATAGCACTATTTCTTTAATGAGGAGACACTAATAATAAAAAATAAATATTGCATGGTTATTTTAATTGTGTAAAACTGTAATTGGCATTTATTGCGTAGGGCTTCAGAGGGATAGGAGCTCGGAAAGCTGATTTTTTCATTAAATAGCTGCCCCAAGGCAGATACATTCGGAACAAAGCACCTTTTCATGAGATGTACCTGTCCCATGGAGAAAACAACAAAGGCAGAGAGGAGGGGGAGGCAGGAAGCCTGAACAAGGAGAGGATGATATGAAAAGAGTCCATGAAGGGAAGAAAAAAAAAAAAAAAGAAAAGAGAAAAGGATAAAAGAGAAAGTAGGAAGTGGGATGGAATGGTCTAATAAAGGATAAATGACTTAATCAATGAGAAAGGGAAGCCTTCAAAGCTCATGGGGTATAAAAAGAGGAAATTAAAAGAGCACACTTAAAGGATGAGAAGGATTAAAACTAAGATGGAGCAAGTAGAAAAGTAAAACCCTCCAAAGAATGTGAGGGGGAAAAAAAAAAGTCCAGGAACACAGAACGCTTGAGGGTTCAAAAGGCTCCCTCTATTTGTACCTACTGTACCTTACATTTGACAGCCTGGCATCCTCAGCACTTCTGACTGCAGACGGAGGTAAAAAAGTGAGTCATGAGGGAAGGAAGTCGGGACAGAAGTGTCCAGGGCTCTCTCTACTTTCCAACCTACATGCCTTAATGTGCTCTACTCTGCCTTAATGTGCCTACAA